CATAGGATGTGAAGTTGTGAATTATTTACTTTTTAAAAACCACATTAATAAATTTCAATTTTGACATTTTCCAAAAATTTGGAAAATAATCACAAAATCTCTATTAATTGGGTTTTAATTCTACAATATTATTTAATTATATTTTATTATTAATATTTAATCACTATGAAATATGTATAATAGTATTATATAGTATCGGGGTTTCGGTTATATTTCAACAGTATTTAATAACCTTATGTTTAGATGCTTGCCAAATTTTTGTGGTTACTATCAACAAACCCTTGTAAATATTATTCGATACATCTATTATTTAGCTTTAATTCTGTATTTAAAAATTATTAAATTTATCTTAAAAACTATTGATTTAACCCGAAATAAACTATAGCGAGTAATCCGAAAATTTGGTCTATTTTAGCTTTTAAGCGAGGGGACTACACAAGAGACTTACAAAAATAATATATTAGTTTTAGACGATGTATTATCTATCAACCAATGACATGAATTGCTTAAAAAGGTAAAATTCGGTAATCATGACTCCAATAACCATTCCCGAACCCGCCGACCCCGAGAAGTGGAAAATGCTGCGGCAAAAGACCGGGGTAAATCATCGTAAAGACTTTTATATATGATATTGTTGGTATACATATGCTTCTGCCTTCGAACTAGTTGGAACTATTTACAAGTTATTGGGGAGATTCCAGGAACCGATATAAAGACATATACCCAAAATATAGCCATTTTAAGCCTATTTTTAGACCGGGTTTTTCAAAAATCATCAATAAAAATTTCAATAAATTTTTGTTACAATTTCTCTCAGACCCAAAACATACTCCAGTTATCCCTCTATGAGATGACTGTTTTAAACTTTCTCTACAGTCAGTCCTTTATGGCAGAAATTGCAAAATAGAAGTAGAGGTAGAGATAGACATGACTCACTTCTTTGGCTCTCAGTGCAGCTATTTTTAATTCGAAGTCATTGAACAGCCGTCCAAAACATGGTCAATAGTTAGCAATTATTATGACCAATACATTATATAAAATAAATTGTAGCTTCATATTAAAAATATAATTTTAAATTTTCATTGCCAAAATGTTATTACTTTTCCGAAGGCGTAATATAAATAATTTAAATCAGGTATTATAATAATGACAATTATAATTAAGTATTTAAATGTGATTTAAATATTTTAAGATAAGTAAAACTATGTTTACTATTATTGTTAAAATACGTTTTAAACAAATGATCATATTTTAGTCAATTCATGTTTTATTCAAGTTAATTAATCAGAAAATTATTAAAATTCCAAATGGTATTCTTTCCAGATACTATCAATAGATTTATTGAATATGAATGTAAGTAAATTCATCATAGATAAATAATTATAAATCCACAATTTTCAAGAAATATGCGGCAAAAAGTGCCAATATTTCATACGATTTCATATGAGAAAATTTAAATAAAAAGCCAAAAGTAAAGCCCACATCCTTTTTGGCCACTTTTTCAATGAAAGTCATTAACTAATAGTAATAGAAATAATAATCAAATTAAAATATAAAAATGTATTTTAATGATTAATTAATTATGATTTTAAGTTACATAGTATATAATGTATACCTTATACCGACAAACGTTTGAATTTGTTTTCAAAGTTGTCTGCAATTTATGCAACGGTTTGTACGCTCTTTTCGCCTCTTCGGCGACACTCGACACAACTCTCAGATAACTTAATATAACGAAAGATCCCGACAATACCAGATAGACAACAACAAACCTGGTAAACAGGGACAATTCCGAGAAAAACACGTTAAATATTGTGCAATCGATAACAAACATAAATAATGGCAGAAAAATGATCGAGAACGTTTTGAAAAAGCGATCATTATTCTCGCGGATATCCGCATAAATGCCGGCAAACGTATTGATCAGATAATAGACGTGTTGGTCAGTTGTTCGGCCGTACTTTACATACTGGGCATTGATCATAAGCCGGGTCTGTTTCATACGCGCCTTATGGTAGAAACAAATCAGATAGAAATAAGTGTACGTCCAGTGGCTTATGTTAAACACATATCGTATGCCCATAGCGTTGATTACACCCCACGGAAAGTATATGGGAAACATTGACCAGTCGTTGACACCGAAGTGGACGGGAAGCAAACACATGATAAATGCGGCCACACCTACGCGATTAGTGTTGGTCTTCGTGTGATGGAACCAGAATTTGGCCGATTTGCACATCTCTATTATCACCGCTTCATCAAACAGCCCTACACTCCTGGGTGTGACTGCGCCCGCCATTAGACGTATGGGCGCCTCCGGGAAGGGGTATCTCTTAATGTGATATAAATACCTATAATTTTAAAAATTGTTTTATTTATAACTTATTACTAGATATAATTAATTGCATTAGTTCGTTAAAATGTTACAATATGCATAATTAATTTTTGTATTTAATTAAATATTATTAATATTTCTAATATCAAAATATACCTTGACATCATTAAAAATTGTTGAACATGGATAATATAAACAATAACTATTACCTGTAGTATATCAAAGTGAGCATGCCCATTAAGCTATTATTTAATATAGCCAGATTGAGTTGAGACTTGGCATGCACAAAATATGGATAATCGCCGACATATGTAGCCATTTGTTTGTCTAATGGTGTCATAAAGGCATAAATACCGCGACAAAAACCAATGAGCAAGGTCATAAACATGATGACCGGGTGATGGAGTCGATGCCTGCGCTCATCGGCCCATCGGTGGGATGTGAGGCCCCGAACGTAAGGATGTGTTCCGCAGTCGTGTTGTCTCAACTCCGGCGGCAACGGGTAGTCCGGAGAGACACTGAGCTTTGCTTTGGGTTTTTTTGTTTTGGGTTTCTTTGCTTTCCGTTTAAACATTATTGTTGTTCACGAGATATACTCTTTAGACTGATTATTGTAATCTAGACTGAGAATTGAATAACTTTTTATTTACATATAAATATATTTAACAATAATGTGAATATTATATTTAAAAGTTACATACATGAAGTTGAATTTGAAGCAACCAAAAATAAACTCAAAAGCGCTAGTTACAGTTTAGATTAAAAAATGCTTGACAGTCAATAATATAAATATGATTAATGAGGCATATAATGTACGTATATTATTTGATAAATTATAATAATATATCGTGGGCAAAATACTGGGTGGTGATGTGTAGCTCAATTCGGTGCTCACGAGTGGTGTAATGGGTGGCGATTTGACAGCTAATCGCGAACTACGCGACTTAAAGCTTGTGTTGAGTTCTCTGGCGAATGCCTCCCTGAACGCGGTTGCGAACCAAGAGTGTTGGCGCCCTCACCACCGAGTTAGTGGCCCAATGAGACGATAGCAAAACACAGTGGGGTTTTGATATCAAAAGACATTTCTATTGACTTTAATTGTTATACATGTTATACGTTTGAATACTGGGGGAGAACTGCCGGTTTGAGAGCACAGTCTGCCTCTTATGTGCAGCGTTTAGGGATTGACTCCGAGTGCGAGTCAATCCCTGAGATAAGTTTATGAATTAGATTACAGCTTAAAACTTGAGATTACAATCAAAACGTTGAGTTAGCAATAAAATGACTAAAAACTGTAGGAAAAACTCGATGGAGTATTCCAGGGGAATTTAGCTCGCGACAAATATATCACATTGTATTGCATTTTAGAGTTTTGTATTAGACTTGTATTAGACCTTCATGAAGGGATTCCCTTCATTTTCCCTTTCCCTCTGAGGGAAATGAAGGGAAAGGGAACTGAAAATAAATTGAAGGGAAGGGAATCCCTCTCATGCATAGAGGGAATCCCTCTAACAAAATTTCTTTTCATTTCCCTCAGAGGGAAATGGAAAATGAAGGGAATTTCTCTTAAAATAAAATCAAGTTACAAATAATGTATTGTTTTTGTGCCAAATTTGTTCAATAAATCTATAAAAACTGTATATAAAGCAGTATATTTTGCTGTATACAATATTCATGTGTATTATAAACCCAATACACAGTATTTGAAGGGAATGTGAAGGGAAGAGGGAAATGAAGGGAAGGGAAACGGATTTCCTCTTCCCTGCAGATGAAGGGAAAGGGATTCCCTCTTTTCATGATTGAAGGGAAGAGGGAAGGGTAGGGAATTGAAAAATACAAAAAGTTGCAAGTCTATTTTGTATCGTGATAATATTTCATAATATGTTTTCGATTATTTTATTATAACGCATATAATTTTTATAATAGAGTGGAAATTAAATAACTTTTCATTTTATACATACTCTATATAATGCATCCTTATTATAAAACACAATTACATAATACAACACATTATGCTTTATCTACTATATAATCAATTATTTATAATACT